TCTCCACTTGGCGGAAAACTGCCGTAGTGGGTGTGGAAACATCGCAGTCCAGTGCCATCAAATGTCTTGTTTTGTGTGATGAACAGTTCAAAAGCCAAAGATATTAAAAAAGGGCAACACGTGGAAAACTGGAACCAGCAGAAGCATTTTTGCTCCATAAACTACTTAAATGATCATTTATCCAAAATCTAAAACAATTTTTTTTTTCTGAAATGAGGTCCCATTGGGTGGAAGTGAGGGACTTAGCTATTGGTTATTGTATAATAATAATAATAATAATGACTAGGGACTAATCATTTTAGCACTAGTATAAAATCTACCTTGCAGTAGCATTAGTACATATATCAGGACTGAAGCTCTGACCCTGGTGGTGTTGGTGCTTTACCTCAGCTCTTTGAGCTTCACTGGACTGTTTAGGAATTCATGCATGATGAAATCCATTCACCCGTAAATCTCTCAATCCACATATTTTCATCCAATTAAAGTGAGCCACGGCAGTAGTGTGATTTCAGAAACGATAGTTCAGACACCCCGTCAATCTGCAGAAAACTTTCTCATTATGAAGACAGATACATTTAAATATAATAAACAGTGACGGAAAAGTTTGGCTTTTGACAGCTTGAAGCCCAAAGACAGAACGAGGAGCATCAGCCTTCAGTCTAATACTACACACACACGTCAGAGCAGGTTTAACTGTCTTAATCCGGTGCGTGGAGCCGTCAGCAGCTGTCGACCTCTGCCTCATTAAACTCCTTTCAACCTCCTCTGCAACATTCATCAGCCGCTGTTAACACTGATGAAAGCCGCTGTGTGTTCAGGAGAAATGTGAATATTTAACTGGTCGTCTCGGTGAAGCACTCTAACCCTTTTGTTCAGAAGCTGCCCGGAGTCGCGTTCAGACGGCAGTTTGTAGCATCAGGAAGCTCTGCGAAGCGTCGGCAGCGTCGCCGTGTGTCCTTTTGTTATTTTGGTGTGTATGAGTGTGTCTGCTGTATCTGGGTTAGACCCTCAGTAACAAGACGCTGTCTGTCTGACTCGGGTTAGTCTGGAAGACTTTCACACAAATGTCAATAAAAAGAAAATATTGACTGGATTCACAAGGGTTTGTTATGTATGAGCTCCAAATGTTCACCTTGTTGTTTTTACAAGTAAAAAGATAATCAGTAACTCTTCACTCATAGCAAATTTTATTAATTTCAGCCCACGACTCTCTGAAGTAGGAAACTTTATAACTCTACCGATTTCCCTGTGATAACTACGGCAGCCATCTTGGATCTACACTAGGGGTGTGCCAAGAAATCGACACAGCAATATATCGTTATACATTTATCCTTGAGACTGTATCGATATTCCAGCCGATAAAATGAATCAAAATAGCGCTTTGATGGTTAGCTCAGTGCTAACATATAATGGGAATCTCCATCAACGTGCTAACGGACATTAGCATCGCGAAAATATAATCTTTACATAAACTACACATTTCACTTCACAAGCGTCACATCCTGAGTGACGCTGTGTTAAATGCTCTGTGTGGAATAAATAAGAGCAGCTAACTTCACCGCCTTGATCTGCAGCTGCTGCACTCCGCACAGACCAGCTACAGCAACCCCAAAGGGTCAAAACTCAACTCAATATTCCCAGTGGCCTAAAAGAAGAGCTACCAGTAGGAAGTGAAAGGGCAGCACGGCGCTGCGTCACTGAACAGTAATTAATATAATGTGATGTACACATTAGACTCAGGTGGTGCACAGCCATTTGTATTTGCAGTAAAAAAAATTCTGTGGATTTGCGTTTTATGTGCCTTTTATAATATTTTTTCATAGCTGCCCTGTAGTTTTAATTTACAGACTGAAAAATGTGTTCTGCAGAATTGTGCTGTTTTCTAACAGTTTGGATTTGAAGCAAATAAGACAGATATGGTGATGTATGATTTTAGGACTGTCTAACAATATATCGATTATTGCAGAATTGCTGTATTGTGATATTATCGTTATCGCGAGCCGTGTATCGTATCGTGAGGTACCCTGCGATTCCCACCCCTAATCAACATCACATAAGGCATGGAGATTTTAAATATAATTTACGTAAAACTTACGTTTCCTCAACGCATAAGACAGGACTGCAATAGAAAATCATGGGAATAAAAAAATGAACTGAATTTAGCAGAAATGCTAGCATCTTTTCAGTAGCTATCAGCTAAATAAAGTGTGTAAACTCAGTGTGTAAACATAAAATGCACATTTTACGTGCGAATAGAGAAAAAAAAGTCAGGTGAAGTAGGATACAGAGCGACAAAGTCAGCGTAGGGAGGAGGTTGAAGTGAATGGACGGGTCAAACAAACACAGCACTTTCACTCATCAGTAATAATAACAAATAATAATAAAAATAACGCAGCAATGTTCGCTGTTTTCAGTCCTAAAACAAGCTGTTATCCTGTGTCAGTAGAGACCTTCGCCATGGGCCGCCATCTTGGTGAGGTCAATGAGCTCTTTTGAAGGAGAGAAGAAGAGTTGCTTTGGGTCTTTATCGGCCTCCTCTGGCCGACCTGTAGGAGCTACGCAGACATCACGTACACCAGTTCATCTCTTCAATACGAAGAGAAAGAGCCTGTAGGATGTTCTGTTCTCAACTTGTGCGCCTGTAAAGCACGGGAGTGCTTTTGGTCACAGCAATATTGATCATTATTTCAATGTTTTGTTATTTGGAACGTGGTTATCTGGACAGAAATAGTGTTTTGGAGAAAACTCCCAAAAAAAGTGAACACAGAAATGGTAAATATGGCCAAAACATGGACATTCGCCTGGTACATTTTTGAAATATTGTCTTACTGTTGTATATCAGTTTCTTTTCATCAAATTTACAGTTACAGTTGGATTCCAGGTGTAATAGAAGATATTCAGTTGCATTATAATGAGTTGGATGATGGTTTAGACGGTGATATTGCGATTAAAACATCATGGCGAGGATTTATTGCATCTCCAGTTACTCTTTAGTAGAAAAATAAATAGGTTCATTTATTATGAAAAGCGCTGTGAGATAACTGTTGTTGTGATTTAGCGCTATATAAATAAAATTGAATTGAATTATTACAGTTGATCCATATTCCTTAGCTTCTGACCTTTCAAAGGAGAATTATGCATCTAGGCCAAATGGTTGAGGAGTTATTCCTGATTTATTTTGGGTTTGTTCATTTAGGCGTTTTTCCTGGAAATAGGTGTCTGTTTCCAGGTGCTATACTAAACGGTTTCAGAGTGGCGGTTCCGAGGACTTGGGATGTCAAACGTGACTTCAGACAGAAACAAACATGGAGGCAGACTGATGTGGACAGCTGGTTGACCTTGTGTGTGCTGTGTTCTGCAGAGAAAAACAAAAGGAGAGAATCAAACTGTGATTGAACTTGAGGCTGAGAAGAGGGGGTCAGCAGGTTTATACATTTTGTAGCGTAAGCAAGTGACGCTTCTCGGGCAGCTCAGACATGTTTGAGCTTTACGATTTGAAATCGGGGAGCCTCTGATCCAGCGGCGAGTTTAAGATTATGTCTGTAAACCCCTCAGGATAATTCGGGCCGATAATCGGTTCCAACCTGCTTCGGATCGGGAACGCCACCGCCGTTGTCGGGAACCCAAAACTGGCCCGATTATCCTCTAGTGTGCGGCCAGCACGAGAGGAGTCATTAGTCAGTGCTGCTATAAAACAGATCATATAGCAATTATTATTATTTTAAACTAAATATTATTAAAATGTTTGGCTGATGCGTCCAGGAGTACGCAAGATTAGCTGGGAACACATACGTGCACACACACAGGACCAGACGGTGATGATAGCTGCTGGGAGGAATTTAAAAACCTAAATCGGGCTGCTCTGCTCAGATTCTTCATCTTCACCAAACCTGGTTAAATAAAAGGCAAATTTGCAGTGAAGTCATTCGTCCTTGGTTCTGTAAAGATTTCATAGTTGTTCCGTCTCAAATGTAGCAGAGAATTGGTGGCATACAAGCTTTAACCTTTTTTATTATTACTACAAAAAGGTCCCAGCTTGTTTTTTTTTTTTTCTGTGAGTCAGTAAATTCAGCTGCTGTCGCTAAATCAATATTTATGTATCCAAGGCCTCTTCAGTCGGACGGCTTCCCGGACCGGCGCACACACACTCGCATTAAGAATCGCAGACAAATTTCCATTTATAAAGTCACTGAGGCTGTAATTCACAATGTTCCCCTGCTAAATGATAAATCAGCGCTGGAACGGGCCCATAACCGTCCAGAATGGATGATGAAGGGCGTCGGACCTTCTCCTCATAAACATGACGACCTGATTGAAGCCGCTACAAGAGGAGACGGACGCCGCCACCCTCTCCACACACCCCCTCACCCGCTTATTAGTCTGAACGCGTCTTCGGATCGGATCTTTGTTTGAGCGATAAGGCGGCGACGGAAAGCGACGCGCGGGGATGATTAAGAGGCTGATGATTAACGATAGTGAGATGAAAGGCGATAATTGTCCCGCAGATTTGATCTACCATCAACGAGGAGCCTTCACTGCAGTTTTAGCCCTGAATTTTGATCTTTTCTTTCTCTTGGCAGAGTTAATGAAGCAATCATTCAACACACCTGGAAAGTTCAAATCTGTTTACACTTCACTTCTGTTCAGTGAGATGGTAAACAACATCACACCTGCTGATCACCGCGAGGAAGGACTGCTGTCGGCCACGTGTACGACACAGATAACACTCTCTGTATGTGTTTTTAAGGAAAACACTAGTCAAGGCTTTCCACTGAGACTATTAAATTGTCTTTCAGCTCATTACTGATATTGTGCTCAACAGTCAGCGAGCTGAGAGGAAATGGTAGTATTTGGGAACGCAAATGGCACTAAAAGGAAATCAGGCATCTTTAAACAGAAACTCTCGGCTGTTTTAACATCATTAGATTTCACTGCCTGGAGGAATTTATTGCATAAGCCTGATTAAAAACAAAATCTTATTTTATTTCTCTTCTCTTCAGGACACTGGGCTACAAGAACCGATACGTTCGTGTTCCTGACGGTCACTTCTGGCTCGAGGGGGATCATCACGGACACAGTCTGGACAGCAACAGCTTCGGACCGGTATGGACAAAACCCACTGCTGTAACACGATATCAAGCTTTCCACACGCCATAAATATAATTAAAGTTTGATCACATTTTCTTCCCATTATGCTGCATTACAGATACACAACCACTGCACAGTTAAGATAAATAACAATAAAATAATCATAACAGCGCAGCTAAAGTAAAGTAATGAAGAAAACACACACACACACCCCCAACAGTGTTAACACAGTGACTGACCCGGCGGCAGACTGGGAAAATAATAATAAAGGCCGTGTCATCAGTCCAGGCCACATTCTCCACATTCACTCCATGCACAACAGACCACGTATATCCTACACAAAATAACACAGCCAGGCGTCTTCAGTTTCAAGAGTTAATCAAGTGCACTCCCATAATAAAGACAACATGAATACAGATTATATAGAGAACTTTTGTGCACTTCTGGAGTGTTTGTTTTGCACCTGGCATTTCCTCAGAGCTCTGACTGGACTTGTGTTTATCCTCGTGAAGCTCTGGTAGCTCTGAGATGCTCCCACCTGACAGAAACGAGTATACAGGTCTTTGTTTTACAGATCATTTCCATACATACCGTAAAACTTTGAGTAATAGCCCGGCTTTTATTTGCTAAATTCACTGAATTGACCCTGCCTTTATATGGGACAGGCCTTTAATTCCTTTTGCACAAAACTGAAACTACTATGAAACAGTTTATTTTTTGTTCAGACAGAATAAGTAATTTAATAAGTATAAAAATCATCAAATAATATCAAATACACGTCATTCATTTGATCTAGCTGGCTTTGGCTTATGCGCTTTTATTTTGAAGTAACATCACGACCACAACAGGGTGCAGGATGAGAGAAGTTAGCAGACAGAGAGCGACGGACTTCACACGACAGGATTCACAACGTGGATTCTTTTTTATGAAAAGCTGTTTGATTCTTTTGATCGGTGGATCCTCACAGACTGAAGGAAGATAAATAATCAGACACATTCGGGCTTAACGAGCTCTTCTAAGGTTACGGCAGTCAGAATTTTTTCCTTTCCTCTCTTGTACCAGGCAGGTTAGACCAGTAAATCTAGAAGAATCAGACTTTGGGGCTCGTTGTTTCCCTTAAATGAAGTGAACGACGGAATCATGGAGAATCGAACTGATCCAACGATGTGCAGCAGGTCCACACTGGCACATTTAAGATTTAAGAGGTTTAAGAGGTTTTATACATCCAGAGAACTTCTATAAAAACCAGACCGGGCGTTTATTTGTCAGAACGTGTTCCCGCACCAGGCCAGTAAACGGGGCAGGCGGCTGTTTGGGACTCGGCTGTTAATTGAAGTTTTACGGTACGCACCTCCTGGTTTCCTATGTAGCATGATTACTTGTTTTGACACATGCGGTGGCGCTGCTCTGTAGCGACCCGGGCTAATGCCGTGCAATAGGGCAACGTGCAAACTCTAGCACCTTAGCACTTACACTTCAATCCATGGAACTATGTTGTCAACAATGACCTTGGTCTTCTGTGTTTATATTTCCTCTTGCGAAGTACAACACGTCGATGCTTCTCAGGCTCTTGTTGATGTCTTTTGTGACGTGTTTTATGAAGCAACACTATGAGCAGAACTCACCTAAAGAATCAACTCGTAAAGGTCGTAGTAGTTGTGATATGATGACTCGCTTGTATCTATTTTCTTTTTTAAACCTCTTCCACGTTTCTTAGTCATGAGGATCTTTGTAATTTTTCAGCATTTAGCGTCACTTTACTCCCTTCTTTTCTCCTATTAATGTGCTCCGTCTCAGCATTTGTTCTCCACACTGGTCAGCCGTGCGCACTCCATGCTAGGGCTGCTCGATAAGGTGAAAACATCACATTGCTATTATTTGCAATATGATTCACAATTACGCTGCAGAAATACCCTCCGGAGCCATTGTAGAACCCAGTGGCCTCAAAATGTCTTCTTAGCCAGTCCAGCCATATCAGTAGGAATGATAATTCTTGCATCACAATATTTATTTTAACCGAAACAATGATTTAAATCCTAATAGAACTTGGGGTCTGTACGAAACTTACATCGGGAGAACACGATTTGTAGGCCGGGGCATCTCGGCAGCACTATAGTCATTGTAATGCTGCTTTGTCACACATTTTACCTTCAGCGAAAAATTGCAGCCTCTGCGATTTGGCCTCGGTCTTTAACAACCAAGACATTGAGAAAAAGGAGTGAATGAGAAGGTGAAGCAAGCCTCACAAAAACTACTGTCACTTAAACTTGGCATTAAACCGTAAATCTGCTCCGTTTAAAGAGAAAAGAAAAAGAAACAAAACATGGAACTCAGTGAAAACCCATCCATCCATCGCCAGCCGCTTATCCTGCGTACAGGGGTGCTGGAGCCAATCCCAGCTGACATTGGGCGAAAGGCGGGGTCCACCCTGGACAGGTCGCCAGTCCATCGCAGCAGTGAAAATCCATGGATGTGTGTGTATGTCATAGGTCAGGGTCTTATCGGTCCAATCTGACGTCGAGTCAGGTCCCTACATCCCCCTCATGACTGGAGAAAAGAAGAAGGAAACTGAAAATGACAGCGATGGGGACTGAATGCACTCCAACCAATGAGGATAGTGTCGCTGTGGGGATAAAAATGTAGGTCCCCACAGGTAGAAGCCCTCATTCAGGTGGTTTTAGGGCTGAACTTACAATCAGGTTAAGGTTTAAGGATGGAGTTACGGGATTGCATTCGCTGAGATGTTGCCAAAGCTTTGTCAAAGCGTCGGTATTTGACACCCTGGGATGAGAACGTGTTTGCTTCTCCTTACTCATAGTTATTTATTGTTTGTTTACCTTTAGAGTATATTTTTATTTTTTCTATTTTTATTTCAATTGAATTGGAATCCCCCCCCCCCCCCCTTGATCAGAGCTCCCAGTGCAGCATCATCAGAGAATTTGATGACGTGGTCGACAGGCTGGTCACACAGTTGTAGGTGTAAAGGATGAATAGCAGTGGGGAGCTGACACATCCTTCTGCAGTTAGTTCTGACCACGGGGGAGTAGGTGTTATTGATCCTAACCAGCTGCTGCCTGTTGATGAGGAAGGAACTGAACCAATGGATGAAATGTGGGTTAATCTCCAACTGATGCATTTTGGAGAGCATAAATTTGAGCAGTGAAGGTGCTGTTTGCTATGAGCGGCACATTACGGGCCAGACAGAAGCTCCCGACTCTGCAGCTGAAAGGAATCTAGCTGAGGAGCTCAGAGGAAATCCCCTCTGATATGAAACCCAGAACACATGGACCAGGAGATCTGAAGATCTTCTCTGGCTTTACAGTTTGCTCCCAAGACATTTCTCTGTGCACGGCAGCAGCAGTCTGTACTCCGATCAGACAGAGGGACAGAAAGACATTTGTGCGTGTGCTCTCATGTAGCATTCATATAGTAACAACAAGGACAGTTTGGATTTGTTTAGTCAAGGTAATTAAACTTGAGCTTCTCCAATATGTGTACCTGTTAAAATGAGCAGCAGACTCGAACCAGGTAGTTTTAACAGAATAAAAACAGGATTTATTATAGGCGGGGGAAAGGGGGATGTGGATGTTGATGGGGAAGGCAGAGCGTGGTGGTGAGCGGTGGTGGATGGAGACTGGAGCAGATGGGGAGAATGATTAAGGCTGGTGGAGACAGGTAGGCATGCAAGTGTAACCCTGTGGCACAAGGAAAACAGAGTTACACAGAGAAGCAAACAAACAATAATAAATAGAGACTAGAAAAATCGCTATATTGGCCATTTCACACAGCCGTTAAAATAAATGGGTTTCATTTTTCTTAATAGAAGCTGAATATTATGAGATTAAGTTTAATAAGAATGTGTTTAATTTACAGTGCACACATTACAGAGACTGGTCATGTAGTGTCCCACATTTTGCTTTGTGAGTTTTCAGTAGCCTAAATGGTGAGATTCAGTCTTTGGACCACTATCTGAGCAGGATTTTATGACCTGTTTTGTTGGTTTATGAAGTTAATTTGGAACAATGTTTGGAACACTTTTGAGTGCGTTTAAATAAGTTAATCTGATTTCTGAAGTTATAAGAAGTTCTTAAAAGTGAGTTGGAGTCTTTTAATGTGGAAACGCAGACACACGGCCGGGCTGAAAGAATAAGGCTGATATTTTCCTACACAACACATTAAATCAACGTATTAATATTAAAGGCTACTTCATTCACACTGTCTTCCTGTATGTGTCAGTGGCAGACCATGTTGCATTTGTCTAATATTAGACTATAGTTTGCTCTTTGTAAAATATGACAGTAGCCTTGTTGGTGACTCCATGTTTGTGATTGGTCGTTTGCTGCTAACACCGCCTCTTTTATGTGACGGCTTACCCTGATCCCGACTGTTAGTGAAGACAGACACAGAAAGAGACAAAATACACAGGGGAGACCAGGAAAGACCACAGGAAGCATCCAGAAGTCAGTCGTGACCAACACTTGTGTGGACTTCGATAGCAGGGGATCCCAGAATGCATTTTGCCGCCAAAAAGAGGAAGTGGCAGAGGAGAAGACTCACTACTGTTAAAAGTTATAATAGTGCAGTTATTGTGTCACGGAATGCAGTTTGAAGAGTTTTTATGCGGGAGTATAGTTATTTAAACTCCAAATAGGTGGTCAATTTCTCAAGACAGAGCTGTTGAAAATCTGCTACGACGTTTTCAGAGATGTGAGGTCCCGCCCGCTGACGGGTCCGGCCGCCATCAAGTCCGCTGCTGTTCCAGTTGCTGAATGACGGACCGCGTGCTCCCGTTCCTGGGAGTTTGTACTCCCGAGCCGAACTTGCCAGATCCGAGCTTTAAAGTAAAGAAGTCCGAAGTTGGCAAACTCGGTATTGAGAAACAGCAAAGTAAATTATTCAAATGATTTAGAGGCCTGGACTCCGTCAGAACAGAACTACTGAAGAACTGTCTCATTTTCAGCACACATGCAGAAGTATCATGTACGGGAGCCTCTACGGAATACTTTCCTTTTGAT